TCTCTCCAGCTCTTGCAGTGTACGTAAGCAACATTTCAATGCATTATTTATAAAGGATTAGCACCGAGAGCAACTGTCGTGCATGCCAAACGGAAGATGGCACAAACAGGAACAGGAAGGAAAAACCTTTGCCTAACGAGAATTACTAATTGCCCACGTTCATGTCTGTGCATGTACAGGCATGTGAGTGTGTGCGAGCTCTATTGTTGTTGCTTTTAATTATATGCATTATGAGACGCTCATTAACAAAGCAAATGAAGAAAGTCAAAAGTGTGTAAGTCGAAATGACGGACGAGACCCACACACGGCCAGCGAACCACCGAACCAAAACACACCACATCAGCCACCACCCACCAAGTGCGACAGACACCTGCACAGCTGCTCTGAGCAAACATCATTTAAATTTATAAAGCCACAACAACAACAACAGCAGCTCTGAAACAATGTGACTAGCATATTTGTGAGATGCGCTGATGGCATCACATAATAGACACTTGCAAAGGATTATCTGCATGGAATGGCTCTATATTTGGTATGTTAAAAATATGTTTGTTTGTATATGTTTCTGAAAAAAAAAGGAAAACTTATTTCTTTATTTAAATTTATACATTTCATTATTCACTATTTTTTAAATTGTATGTATTAAAATTTTTAATTTGTTTATTAAAATTCTATGATTTTTTCGATATCTGAGATATTTTTCATACACTTTAATAAAATTCTTAGACATATTTTTGGTATTTTTTTGTATACCAAAAATACTACAATAATTATATTCTTAAGCCTTTTGCTATTATTCTTGCACTTGGAGCGAAAAAGTCGAATAATATAATAATAATTCCATATATTCGAATTCTCTTTAATATATCAATAATTCATTATTATTACATTATATATTATATTATATATATTGATATATCAATAATGTATCAAAATAAATATATATAAATTCATGATGCTATTACTGACACTCTGAGAAGAGATTCAGAGAGCAACGACTTCGTTCGCGATCGGATAGAACCCGACTTTTGACTTTTCTCTGGCTGAATTCAGTGAAGCAGAGATCTCTTGTGTGTGTATTGGTAAGAGGGTTTTGCTCGCTATCGCATATCAATTACGTACGTGAATTGAGTGCGGGCATGTGTATGTTAATGTGAAGACCATTGACACATTTACTGAGCCTCATTGCACGGACGTCAATCGTATCTCTCCCTATGCTCGATGGTCGTTTAAAGAGCGTCACACGAAGAGTTCAATTCAAGGCGCTCAATAAAACGTAAAGATCCAAAGGCGATTGAATAGAATAAAGGTGATTCTATAATTCTGACTCTCGCTAATATATCAAAAGAGATGCTGCTCTGGCTACAAATTCTTACAGAGTTATTAATATTGAACTGATTTCACGCCATTTTCAAGTAAATCAATATATGCTTTTAATATAATTTGATCAAAATGTATATTTGTTCGTTAGAGTTTATAATTAATATTAAATTAAGACTAACTTAGAACTTAAACATACATATAACTCATTTAAATATTTTATATACCCATAAAGCCAAACCCATTGTGACCCAATTAATTTCTCTTTCTTATCCTAATTTATATATCAAAGTGCTTCCTTCAATTACATCACATTACACAAATTTTCTAATGATAATATTTTCCGCTCATCTCTAATTCACATATGTGTGGCACACCTGTTTATGTATACGTTATAAATATATTTGTAGGTCTGTTGCAAAGCTGTGCACGTGTCTGCAAAATGGAATGAATGGAAAATCCTTTTGTGCAAGCAAAAAAAAAAAAAAAAAAAAACAATTTTTATGTTTTTAAATGAAAATATACGCCTCGGAATTTTACATAATTAACTCACAATGTGAATGTGTGTGCGTGAGTGTGTGTGTGTTTGTATTTATGCAAGAACATAAAAGGCAAGCCCCACCTCACTGAACACGTCTGTGTATGTGTGTGTGTGGGCGTGTGTGTGTGAGGCATTTAAGCAGAAAGGAGCTACTGACAACAACAACAACAGCAACATCAGCACGAGCATAACAACAACAACAACCCGTTCACCAATTCCCAGAGGACTTAAGTTAATTATCACATTTTTTACACACAATTTTACTTTGCATTGATGCGTTACTGTGGGCGTTAAAGCTGGGGGCATGGCTAGGCCGCACATTAAAGCGTAATTATGTGTATAATTTGGCTGTAATTTGCTGTAAAGCACATGATACGAGCGCGATTAAACAGCTCCCAAAAAGTTAAAGCAGCTAATTAATATGTAATTAAAAATTATTCAAAAATTCGATTTTCTGTATCTTGCATAAATGAGAATCGAGAGATTTAATTTAAGTAATATATATATGTATATATATATATATATATAATCAACCCGGCATCACCTATTTTACTCTCTGTCTCTTTTCACTTACTCCCTCCTCCACACTCCCACTATCTCTCGCTCTCTCCCTCTCTATCTCTTTCATGCCAAGCGTGTGTTTGACTCTTTGGCCTTCTTATCAATGTTAACAATTTGCAAATGACTTTCACTTTAATCGCGAGGACTGCGCAATTTGTAGCCAATGTGAATAACAAAAAGTACAAAAAATAAATAAAAACGAAAACAAATAAATGGAATTATTTTCAACAAACATGCTCGCAAGCACTCACTCGAAATTCTATCGAACGCGCTAAGTATGTAGGCTGGCCACGTGCTAAGTTCCCATAAAATGCACATTAGAACGAGTTGAAGTTCATCGCAATGATGTGATGGACTGAGAGATACCCTATATAAATTTGGTTTAAAAAAATGAAAATGATAGTTTCAATAAGGGTGAAAAGTTTGTGATAAAATAAAAGTATAAGAATATAGAGAATGCATATAAAAATATTAAAAATATTTTATAAGAATAATGTCAGTTAATTAAAAAAAAAAAAAAAAAAAAAAAAAGAGATAATTAATAAAGAAATAAAATGCTAATTAAACTTAACATTAAATAAATATTTTACTCAAATAATTGAATAATTAATTTGTATTTTTATATATTAAAAAATTTCTTATATAGCTAAACATCTTCCTAGCTAATAGTTTTCTCCGACACCTTTTATGAACTAGTCTAGCCTGCCAGGTCTTAGTCGAAACCTCCTTCCATCTCTACAATACTGTATTTCCAGGGTATTTAGACAAACGTTTGGGCAAGCGTAGCCAGGAAATGGCATCGGGAGCAGGATCTTCGCGCATTACATTAATATTTATCAGCCATGCAATTACGATTAGAGCAGACAAACTATTGACTGAGGCTCGATGGCTCTATTGGTCTATGGCTCTATGGCTCGTTTGCGGGAGAAGCGCCAAAAAACATGGCAGCCAAATTGTCAGACAAAGCGATGCGATTGCCTGGCACAATTTATTGATTCGACGCATTGAAATAGTTCTCAGCGGAGCCATTTCAAAGATTTGTACGACAACATTTTTCGCCAGTTCCTGTGTTTCATTTTTTTCTCGGCATTTTTGTTTTTTGTTTTTCGTGCCTTTTCGCTGAAATAGCTGAAAATTCTAACAGACGCGCATAAAAATTCGAATGCGCGTAGTTAAACGCCCATGCACACGGAAGGCTATGTTATAAAGGGGGCGTGGCAGCGGCTATTCAATGAGACAAAGCGCAATTCAAGCCAGCATATTGGGATTTCGACCGTCCCTAAATCGTTTTTTTTTTTCTTTTTTCTTTTTGCGTATTCTCTTTGGCAAGGGGATCATTTGAGGGCGGAAGGGAGGTCGCTTTTGACTGTTGTGTGTCGCCTGAACGATAAAGCAATGACAAAAGTCACAGCGATTAAAGTTCAATTGGTGTAACTATCGACCATTAGAAATTTTGTCGAGCGCAAGGCGAAAAAAACAGATAAAAATCTGAGTTTTATGCTGCATGAAAATAATTTTTATTTATTTAATTGTATGAAATGAGAATGATGATGATGCATTACAATCAGATACTAAAAATAATTTAAATAAATGTTGTTTTTAACGTTTTAATTTTATTTTTTAGCAAAGTCAATTTTGCGAGCCTTAAAAAAATGTATATTTAAAATGTTTTTAATAAATACCTTAAAGTTTTTTCTCATAATTAAATTTTAAATTTAATAAATTTTAAATTTTAAATTTGATGTTTTTCTTATTATAAAAGGCTTCTTGAAAAATAGAAAAAAATTTTAATTAATATTTAACATAACATAATTAAACGCAATAAATTTTTATTGTAATATTACAAAAAAATAAATAAATAAATAAAAAATAAAAGCAGTCAGAGTAATAAACAGCAGTAAAGAATAAAATAAATAAAGAAAATATAACAAACAATTATTGATTCACAATAAAATCAAATTAATTCAATAAAAACAATTAAATAAATAAATAAAAATGTTTCAATTAATAAAAGTAAAGTACAATATTATAATTTAAGTGTTTTCGTTATTAATAGGAAATGTGTAGTAGAGGTCAAGAGAATTCAAATTTTAATTCAGTTCGAAATTGTGAAATTTACAAATACATATATGTATATAATTATTGTTCATTTTCGGTGCGACCTGCTGCAGCTGCAGCTTGCCATTATTATTTATAAGTGGTCCAAGAGCAGATAGCAAGACGGATATTGTATAAACAAATAAATTGTATTTCATATATTTAATTGAAAGCGAAAGTGTTTATGATGTTCTTCGGAGATAACTGTTTCAACTACTTTTACTTTGTGTACATATCTCAATTAAAAATGTCAACTCTTAAATGACAAACTTCATTGAAAGTTTGAAAAGCACTTAGCTGACGAATCTGGTTTCAAAGATCTTCCGTTCCGCTGCAAGGCCATGTAAAATTTCGCTATTTGTTGAGTTCTAATCGCTTGGCAGCTGATGCAATTCAAATGTCAATTGCGTTGATACATTGATATAGTAAATCAAATCCCAATCGATCTGATGTGATCGGAACTGTTCTCTGTCTCGGCTGTCCGCTGTCTGCTGTCTCAGTAAACAATGTATATGCAGGTATGCTGGCAATTATGAAACGAATTACAGCTAAAGGCTTTACTGCACATACGATGTGAGTTCGAGTCGACTGACAGACAGCCTCATGATTTGCGCTGTCACCAATTCAAGTTATTCAGCACACACACTTTTTTCTCTTTCAGCGGCTAATTGCATATTTCGGAAGTTCTATAAAGGCATTGAAGGTGGACGAATTCTAACGGTGTCCATTAATTAACCTCTAAAAGGCAATGCCAGCCACCGAGAACAATCTCTGAACTGAACTGTTGCCGAGCAGCCAACTAACTGGATTAGTCTGCAACGAGAACAAGATAATATATGACTAAATAGTGTATGTCTGATAGTTGCTTATCTGTGTACATATATACCGTTAGCTTTTATATTAGACTTTAGCTGGCTTGTCTATATACTTATTATAGCGGCCACAAAATAAATACAAAAACCAAACAATGCACGCCCAGATAATTATGACAACAGCTCAGTGTCAATAGAGTACGACAGAATTGCGGCGAACTATAAAAATCGTTGCAAAAATATAGTAATTTATTTATGGAATTTTGATAACGGGAAATATATACTCTGCAAATGGAAAAGGCAAAAGAAAACCTTTTATAATTAAATTTATATATATATAAAAAACTCTTTTTTTTTTTTTTTAATAAATTGCGAATATATTATAAATCTTAGCTTTGGCTTAAAATATAATATAAATATAAAAAATAATATAAATGTATTAAATTTTTTATACAAATATTTCTAGAAATAATCTAAAGACTTCAACTGCAGGTACTCAAGTTGAAAGTACCCAAGAAATTAGTTAGGGTATCACGAAATCGAGTTCTAGCAATTGTGGGTATTTTTGGCAAAGCAATTAGACCAAATTGTTTCTTGTGATAATTTTGAGAGTAGAAAAACTCAGAGACTTGGCTCGTGGCTCAGTTTAGCAAAACTTTATAGAACAACATTCAATGAAAACAGACAATAATTAAATTCTAATTCAACAAAAATCATATGAATAGCAATTTTGATTAGCATATCTATTCCGATTCCCTAACTGAACAATATAAACCACTTGCAAGCTGCAACTGAGTTGATTCGCTGTTCAGTTTTATCCCATCATAATTCATGCTAATCAACAACAATAATAATTGGCAAGCAATCAATTTTCCGGCCAGCAGCCAGCGGATTGAATATGCCCGATTGTTTCGCATGCTCATTATAATCCAATTCACATGAAGTTGCTAACGAAAATCTTCTCATGAGCAAACCCGCCATCGAACCACTTGGGGCTGCAACAACTACAAAGTAAATCATATATATTTTGATTTAAGTAGCTGGTATGTGTATGTGTGTGTGTGTGTGTGTGCAAAAACAACAATTCAAGATTTCTGTCAATTGGAGAAATGCCAAAAAAGAAAACTGGATATGTAAGACGTGTCTAAAAATAGACGTCGAATTGAGTTTTTCCGATGCACAGACCTGCAACTAAGGTAATTGCATGGTTAGCCGAAGCTGAGATAACCAATTAATTGGTTCAGCTTTATGTCCGATATTTCAATGGAAAATCGGCTCAGGTTGCTCAGTTACAGTTACAGTGAGTCGGGCTAAATAGTTGTCGTGCTTCAATGTTGCTCTCTCCCGGTCTCTCTCTCTCTCGCTGAGACAATAAACATTTCCAAGCGCACGGCCGTTGATTTATCTCGTGTTTAAGTTCTCCACTTCCACTTGTCTAGGTTTTATTTGAGTGTCAGCTGCGCTAGCAACTGCACGCGCCAAACGCAATCGCAAACGCATTTGCTGTCCAATCCTTTGACAGCTCCACTGCGAATGCATTTGGAATTACCATCCGAGTCCAGCTGATCTCAGATATCACGTTTCATTGACATACTTCCGCCTCTGTGAGTGTGTGTGTGTAGGGCACATAAGAACCAACTCCATCAGGATGATATTCGGTAACTGCACGCGTAAACAAATACTCACGATGAGTGCCTTGGCCGCTGGCGCTGTCCTGGCGATCGTTGCCATCGTCGTGTTCAACAGCCGGGCGGAGGCGAAGTTGCCGCCCTGGGTGCGGCCCAACAGATTGCACAAGTGCCTCAGATCGCGGCCAAACACAACAGAGTCGACGCTGGAGCTGGTGCACATTGTGTTCAGGCACGGCATACGCACACCTGTTGACACCTATCCCAACGATCCCTACATCAAGGACAGCTTCAAGCCCACCGGCTGGGGGCATGTGACCAATGTGAGTTGTTGAGACTGACTGAGACTGAGATTTATATATTTTTATATATTTTTGTTCGTCGAAATTGTGCCAAGTTAACATAAATTATTTTATACAAATTAATTTTGTATTTAATTTCGAAAATACTTGAATTATTTTTCCAACTTCAAAGTTTAAAATTTATTTAATATTTTTTAAAATGCTCCCAGCATTTTTATTTAAATATTTATTATTATATATTAATTATATATAAATATATTTATTATATTATTTTTTATATTATATCATTATTATATTTTTCCAACTTCATATATCTTATATTAATTCTTTACAGAATATTTATATAAATATGTATTATTTTTCCCCTAAATCTATGATTGTCACAATTTAAAATTTCATAACTAAAAAGATTTCTAAAATTAGTATTTTAATTAATTAACAATTAAAGCATCAGCTCAAATCAATTTTTAATATATGCTTACATTTTATTTTGCAGCGCGGCAAGAAAGAGCTCTACGATATGGGTCGCTGGCTGCATCGACGCTACGGCGACTTTATGGGTTCCTTTTACAGACCCGACGTAAGTTTCACTCGGACTCTTAGTCAGGCCGACTAATATATATCTAATATATATACTATCTAGCGCCTGCACGCTCAGGCAACGGCATCGCCGCGTGCCATGATGTCGCTCCAGACGACGCTGGCCAGCATGTTTGAGCCGCGCGGCACGGCAATGGAGTGGAACAAGCAGCTCAACTGGCAGCCCATACCCATATTCTCGGAGCCGTTGGATCAGGATTCGGTAGGCAGTGTGTGAAGTATATATGGCTCACAGAAATGAATAACTCGAAAGATCTTCAACAGTTGCTGCTGGTGCGCACGCCGTGTCCGCGTTACTTCGAGGCACGGGACGAGGTGTTCCAGCTGCCCGAGGTGATTGCGCAGCAGGCGCCCTATGCAGACATGCTGCGGGAGCTGAGCAATCTGACGGGCATGGAGATGCGCAATGCGGAGGATGTGAACTCCTTGTATATAACTCTGCTAGCCGAGCAGGAGTTTGGTTACAAGCTGCCCGACTGGGCCAAGGATTACTTTCCGGAGCGCATGCAATTCCTAGCCGAGCAGAGCTACATCTACAATGCGTACACGCCCGAGATGCAAAAGATCAAGGGCGGCCCCTTCCTGCGCAAGATGTACGACGAGATGCTGGCCAAGCAGGCGGGCACGCTGAAGCCCAAGGATCGCGGCATGTTCATCTACACGGGCCACGACTGGACCGTGGGCAACATACTCTCCGCCCTGGGTCTCTGGAAGCGTCAAATGCCGCGCTTCGCCGTGATGGCCATCTTTGAGACCCATCGCAATGTTAAGACGGGGGAATACTACGTGGAGGTAATGCACATATGACTCTGACTTTGCTATGGATACTGATTCACCATTTCCTTTCATCTCTGCAGATCTTCTTGCGCAACGATGAGTTCGGCTGCCTGGAGCAGCTGAAGCTGGCCGACTGCGCGCTGCAGTGCCCACTGAACCGCCTCGTCAAACTGAGCGCATCGATGCTGCCCAACGAGCCCATGGAGCAGCGCTGTCGCGCTCGCAACGCCGATTTTGTGGAACCGCCGCCACGCAAAATCGATCAGTAATAAATTTGATGGAACCGCAACGTAATGTGCTCAGTATACAGTATTAGATGAAGACAGCTGCTCACAAAATCAGCGACAAATAAATAAAAAATAAAATAAAAATAAATAAGTGAAGGAAAAAAATATAAATAAAATGAAATAAAATAAATAAATAAAAAATAAAATAAAGAAATAGAAAATTGTTTATCAGAATAGTTTTTTCATTTTTAACTTTTCTTTTTTTCTGTGAGTAAATTAGCTTTTTGTGCGTAGAGCTTTTGCCTTGATTAAATTTAATTTTGTGTGTTATTAAAAGTTTTTTTTTTTTATTTTTATAGTGCAGCAACTGTTTGCGTCTTCTCTCGCGCTCTTCGCTATCTGGACAAACATATTCTCGATTCTCTTGATTTTCGTTCTACATAATCGCGACTTAAAAGCCGCTCGGCTGCTCTCAGTGCAGTCACTAGACGAGCGAGTCTCGACGTCGCTGGAAGTTTGCACACCAAATAACACGCTGTATATATATTCATATACAGATTTGTAAGGCAAATCAAATTGTTTGTAATGTGGCTCAAGTATTCGGTTAGTCTGTGGCTTTGCCTGTTGCTTGTGCGAGCAGCCATTGTGCCCATCGAGGAGCCACAGGATGAGCATAAACAAGAACTGGGCCAATCAAACTCAACGCTGGAGCTTGTGCATTTGGTAAATAATTCTAAAGTCTTATAATTGCTTTCGCTCTGCCTGGGCGATATTTCAGAAATATATGTACGTATATATATATGTATGTAAAGTACCCAAAGTAATTTATATATAGCGTCCGTAGACCATAAAATTATGAAATGTGTGCTTCCACTCTTGTGAACTATTTAATCTCTATAATGAGACTATAAAGAGGCTCTAATTTAAGCACTCATATGGCGTGTCTTTGTTATCAGTGGAAATGTGTGTGCAGGTTAAATTGAATTTCAGATAGAGTCGAATATATATCGAGGCTCACATGTGAATTGATAGAGTATTGAGTGAGTATTTATTGAGTATATCATTTATCTTAATAATGAATTTGTGCTCGCTCGGGCCGCAGGGCGTATACTTAATGCCAAGTCGCAGTATTGAAGTGTGAATATATTAAAATATATATTTAAGTAAATGCATAAATTAGCTTCGAACTCATTTAGAGACCATTATTAGAGTCTGATTTATATTCAATTATATTCGTTAGACAATTTAAGGCGCATGGCGTAAATTGGATATCAAACTTTTAATTGAGATAGAAATGAACTTAAATATTTATATTTATATTTGTATGCTTATTAAAATCAATTGAAATTAATTTAGTTACCATAGTTAGAACTTGATTTATACTAATATTAATTTGCTGTGCCTTAGGCAACTTGAACCAGTTTTGGCCACATGGCGCATACTTAATGCCAAGTGCTGTTAACATGATTTCAAGCTAGCCAACCGGTTTGTTAGGCAAATTGAAAAATGTTTGTGCAAAACTAATTACTTTAATGTATTCCTAATTGGAATGCAACAAGCAACTACATAAAAAATTATAGTTAATGAGCCACTCAAAAAAAAAAAAAAAAAAAGACAACTTGAGAATTGATGAGTGTTAAATATACCCTGTAGCAATTTATAAAAAATATACACATATGCTAAATGAGTTTTAAGAGAGTGTTAGTAGTAGAGTAGAGTAAGTGTTAATAGAAATTAATTATGATTTAATCTCTTTATAATTAATTGAGATAATTAATATGATATTTTACTTTATTAATATGCTTATTTACAGGGTATTTATTGCTCATTCTGTACTTAATTCTTGTATTTAATATTAATTTGTATTTATTATATTTGCATCGCATTCACAGCTGTTTCGACATGGCCCACGCACTCCCGTCACCACATACCCCAGAGACCCGCATATTAACGAGACCTATGAGCCCTACGGCTGGGGTCAGCTGACGAATGTAAGTGAAATAATTTAAAATGAAATTAAATATATTAATAATAATTCGAGTTCCCATTCAACAGGAGGCCAAAGTGGAGCTCTACAAGATTGGAAAACAAATGCGCAAACGCTACAAAAATTTGCTGCTGCCCTACTATAAGCCCGATGTGAGTTGCTCGATTCGATCTTGGGCTAATGCATGATTAATTGATTTATTTACTACAGCTGCTGCACGCTCAGGCGACGCAGTCGTCACGCACCATTATGTCCCTGCAGATGGTGCTGGCCGGCATGTTCCCGCCAGAGAATACGCCCCTGGAGTGGAATATGATGCTCAACTGGCAGCCGATACCCATCTACACGGTGCCGGAGGCCAGCGATAAGGTAAGCCATGCCTCCCATGCCACACCTGCCAACAGGCCCATTAATGTGTATTCATATAAATCCATTCGCAGATCCTGCGCCAGAAGGTGCCCTGCCCACGGTACGAGGAGGCCGTCTGGGAGGTGATGCACACGCTCGCCTTGCACGAGAAGAACGCCGAGCTGCTGCAGGAGCTGAGCGACTTGACGGGCCTGAATGTGACCTATGCTCATGACGTGACGGACGTCTACATCTCACTGCAAACCGAACTGGCCTACGGCCTGAAGCTGCCCGAGTGGACCAGGGACTACTTCCCGGACAAGATGCGCCCCCTGGCGGCCAAAGCGTATACCTATGATGCCTACACGCCGGAGCTGTGCAAGCTGAAAGGTGGCTACTACCTGGAGGACGTCTACAAGCACATGCAGGCCAAGATTTACGGCAAACTGGAGCCAGCGGGCAGAAAGCTGTTCATAGCCTGTGCACACGACTGGACCATATCGAATGTGCTCAGCGCTCTGAATGTCTGGGGTGACCGAATGCCTCGCTTCTCGGCTCTGATTGCCATCGAGCTGCATCGGCGCACAGATAGCGGCGACTACTTCGTCGAGATCTACCTGCAAAACGATCCCAGCAAGCCGCCACAGCTGCTGCAGGTGCCGGGCTGTGCGGAGCAGTGTCCCATTGAGAAGCTGCTGAAGATCTCAGAGCCTATCCTGCCCGACGCGCCCTACGAGCAGCTGTGCCTGGCCAAGGGCACCAGCGACGGCACACGCATCACATACCACAAATGAGCGGCCCTCAACTTAATCTAGCAGTATTAACTAAACTATATATACACATATTTAGAGATGATTTATATAGATGGGGTGTATATATGTATATAATAATATATATTTAAAGTCTCTGCGATTGAGTTGCTGTTTGATTGATTTGCACGCCAACACGAACAGCCTGGGTCAAGCGGAAAATGTGTATGCGTGCCGTACTCCAGCTGGCGGAGGGTAGTTACAAAAGTTGTATGGCTTAGGCATGCTTATGCTTATATGTATGTGGCTCAGTTAAGATAAGACTCTAATAGGTGAAAGCTAATTAAAGTGCTTGTGGAAATACGTGACCTTTGCTATTTAAATATTATCATTAAAACATGAAATTATCTGACTGCTTTTATGTAAACTATATAAAAACAAAAAACTAAACTATAACTATAAACTATAATATATAATATTAAACATAGAATAAAAGCTTCAAACATTGTAAATATTAAAATGTTAATTCCATTTGATATACTCTAGAAATTATTAGCAATTTTTGCCAAGTACCATGCAAAAGGAGAATTAATTTTTTTTTTTTTTTTTATTAAAAATTGAAACTTTTTTATTTATCTTTTTTTTTGTATTTTTTTTTTAATTTATTTTATGTTGTTTATATATTTTCTAAATTTATTTTATTTATTTTATTTTTTATTTTAAAACTTTTCTTGTATATATGTATATATATATTTTTTTCTTTGTATTCATTGTAATTTTTGATTGTAATAATTTATTTTATTTTTTAATTTTTTCGTTTGTTTTTGTTAATATTTTTTAAATATTAATTTTATTTATTTATTTTTATTTATTTATTTTTTTTTTTATTTTAAAAGTTGTATGTTCTATGCAGTAATTTAGTTTTCTAAAGTTTATCTTTATATATTTCCACTTATTTCTCGAGCTGCCCCGTCTTTAAATGCAGCACACGTGCTGTACAATTTTTTTTTTGTTTTACAACTTTCTTATAAAGCAAACTGTAGTTGATCTTTGAGCAATCAGTTGGCAATCGAACATTTTGTGGTAAAGATTTTCTAAATATAAATATATTTGATAGAGAAAAGGATGCAAAGAGCTTCCGTGAGATGTAAATTTATATATGCCAAATTGAGACGTAATTAACATAACAATAAACGAATACTACAACAACATGCATAACATTAAATAATTAGCATATGTTCGATAAAAAACAAAACAAAGCAAGAGACGAAAAATGAGCAGCGATTTATTACAGCTCCGAGATGGTGACGAATTTTCGGAGCTCCATAAAAAATTAGGCAGCTGTGTCGAGTGTGAGTGTGTGTGTAAGTGTGTGTGGGTATTTTATATGTAAATCGCGATCGCGTTTTAAAACGCCTCAAATGTTGGGGCATTGTTGTGTCGACTGCTCAATGTACGATCAGTTACGAGCCACGCAACACACACAATGGACAGACACACTCGAGAACACAAATAAGAGTAATAATAGTAGACGACGGTGACGAACGCATTCTGCGATAATGAAACGATAAAAGACATATGTTCTGCGGCTCGGCTGGCCGCCGCCATCTATTATGAGAGACAGTACGGCACAAGTGCTCCGCTGAACAGCTGAGCTATCCGATATTATCCGCCTGCAGAGGCTTATCAGTTTATCAGTTTATAAGTTTCTGGAGACGCGTCAAGCAAAAAATTCTGAGTTTGCCATAGACAAACAAATAGTATTCTGTTTATATTGACGATAAGAGCAGGAATAAGACAAATAGTGCCCCACCGAAATAGACCTATTTGAATGCTGATGAAAGGGGCGGTCTCTCGAAACCCGTTCCGTAACGACTTTGCAAATTAACAATAACACGTTTTATACTTTTTGGTTTTTTGTTTTATCAACAGCATAATTAAAAACACCGACAGAGGTAACAAAACAAAAAACGACAATGCCCGCAAAAACGAAAAAAGAATCGAGTTTTTTGTGCTTCTTCTGATTTTTGTGTCTGTGGCCGTACAGATCGCGTCTACGTTTCGGGGCTCTGCTGTTGGCGCCAAGTTAATATACATACACTCATATACTTACAATAAAAACGTTCGCGTACGGCGAACCCCCCTCCAAGTTCGAGCACCGACTAGAGCCATATAAAGCGTCTCCGCCAAAATGCCGCGTTCGCATTTTACTCGAAGGCATTGTCTAGCAATGACGGGCGGCTTAGTTGCATTCGCTTTGCTGATCTTGTGTTTTACACACTCCACACTCATCTCCGGCAAGATCACTGATCCCGGCACCGACGAGTCTACGCTTGAGCTGTTGCATGTGGTAAGTCCGTGCGTCAATCGCAAATCGACATCAAACAAAAGACAAACACACAAGTGTATAAAACAGCTGTAACAACTGCACACAGCTGCTCTTATTACACTGTCAAACAGGGCTCGAGCCAACGAGTGCAAAGCTGTCAAGCTTTAAGCTTTTGTAGCGCATTAAACGCTTAGAGTTTGAGGTGAGCAGCCTTTGAAGCTTTTGAGCGGATTAAGATTTGTTATGGATACGAAATAAGCAGAGCTTCAATAAGGCCAGAGTTGTGAAAAATATGCATCCTATATACAGGTATTAGCTTTGATAGGCTTTTAGAATATATATAGGTGTCTAAATTTAAAAAAAAAAAATAATAAATAAAATTATTATTCTTTTTGGTCTAAAAATTTAAAAAATGTGGAATTCAAAGAACTATACTCAAAATGTTATTAAAAAAAAAAAAAAAAAAACAAAAAATAAAGTCTAAAAAATATTTATTCTTCAACTCAGCTAATTTAATTAGTAGAAAATTTTATAAAAAGTATTAAACTCTAAAAAAGATTTATTCGTCAACTCAGTGAAAAAACGCTAACAAAAATTCCGTAGCTAATTTAAAGCATTAATAGAATTTATTCAACTAAGCCTTAATTTAAAACAGTTTCAAGTAAATATTAGTACTCGAATATATAAAATATATATAAACTTCTCAATACATGTATACATCTGTACACCTTATCGAAGCAATTAAGACTGCCCCGCTCAGGTGTTAGTCACTACTACGGTTATTATTATCATCACGTTTGTCCAAGAGAAACCAGCTGATAATACAGAAATTCATTTTCAGCGCATTGACACTGAAAGTGAATGACAGTTAGGGAAAAAACAAAAATATTTTTGCTGATAAATATACACAGCTGGCAGTTTTTAGCTCAACTGACCCGTTTCTGAAGCTCAGTGTAGGGTTGCGTTTAATTACTGCATGGAATATTAAAAATTTAGTACGCGTCGAGCGGAGGTAATAGACGAATGTCGCGCGATAAGGCCGAAGCACGAATGGACAATAAATGTCTAAAATAATAAGCAACATCAGAATATAAAGTAAAGGCGTATCGAAAGGTAGAATGCCCATGTTAGCTATAGTTCCCAAAGGTAATACGCCGATAATATATGTGTTTAGTTAATACCATACCATAAACTAAAATTGTCCACATTAAATCAAATCAAATCTCAGTTAATCGTGTTGTATCAGCTGTTTTAATTGATCTATAATTAAACCGTGATTTATTGTGATTTATTAATAGAACAACATTTCAATCAACGTTGTGTGTGCACTGGCTAATAGAATCGTCGCCAGTGATTAAAATAGTGAATTCTATCATGAACTAATAAGCAGCCAACCGTGAAGTAGTGTAAAAAGCGCTTTTATGACTTTGACTGTGAATATATATGTATATGAATTATATATGTACATAGATATATGTATGTACGTGTATTTATATAATGTATATATATGTTGTAAAATCTAATGGAAATATTAGAGATGCGAGCAGCTCGTGTTTTTAATTTTTTTTGTGAGAGTACAAAAATATATATACATTTCATATATTGAAAAATGTTTTTACTTTTATAAAATATGTATAACAAAAATTGCAAATTAGTTCTCTGTAAAAAATAAAAAGATCGCCAAAAGAAATATCTGTTGTTGTCAAACCAAATATTAATTAAATATATAGTATAAAATATTAAAATAATATTAGTAAATATATATTTTTTAATTTAAAAATAATTTTAAAACATTTTTTATATCTTGAAAAGTTTATTAAATTTATAATAAAAAAAAAAAAAAAAAAAAAAATTAGCATTAAAAAAAAATTTTAAAAATATTATATTTTGAAGTGAATCACCCGAACAATCTCGCCCATCTCTAAGTACTACTTAATGGGTTCACGGCTTCTCTAATTACAACGTTAATGCTTTTGTTTCACGAGTATTTCTGGTATTTTTCAAAAACATTCAGTTAATACTTTTTCAACTTACTCGCATTACAAACGACAGTAAATTGAATTTAATTTCACTTGAGCTCTCCAAACTGGTTGATAAATCAGCACTGAGTGAGCATCGTCCAAGCCAAAAAAAAAAAAAAAAAAACCAAAAACAACAACAGAGGCAAAAAACCAAATAAATTTCAAATTTAAAACCAGCTACATGCCTAATTACAATTTTTTAGCCGCTCGCTTCGCCTTACCAAATAGCAAACGAACTAAAAATAAAACCAGTTAACCAACTTTTTATTTTTTGTTTATGGCCGCATGATAAACTGCGACGCACTTTTTTATTATATAAACAATATTTGAAAACATCGTCGAGCTTTAATATTAATGGTCCGTAAACCTAATTAACTGATATAGAGATTAGCAGAGTGCGAGTCCGAGTCCGAGTCAGAGTCAGGTCCGAGGCTGCTGACCTTCGGGCTTATCAGTAAACCTGCCACGCGTTACTCAAACCGAAGCACCAATACTTCCGTATCTCTGTAATGCTGATGCCAGCTCAAACGTGCATGACCAGCTTGGTCTCTCACTCTGTCTCCCTCTCTCTTTCTTGCCGTCGTTTCTTATCAAAGTCGCGTGAGCGTTTGTAATTTCTCTTTGCAATTGTTGCTGAAGAAGCGCAACCGTGCTACAATGACACTGGCTATAAATAGCGGCTATAAACAAGTTTAATCGGAACAATGAAAAGTCAGCTCAGTGCTATTTTTAGTAATTAATACAAAATAATAATAATAAATATTATCGGTCAAATTATTCATGTTAATAATTTATTTATATTTTAAATATTAACCAGCTTCAATTCCAGTCCGCTTTACATCTAATGCCATCTCAGCTTAGGCCTTTGGCTAATTAAAGCAGCGCATGGAAATGAAAGCTAAAAACTTGCAACTAACACTGCATACATTTGTACGAATTTGCAGGTCTTCCGACACGGACCACGCACACCGGCGGACACATATCCCCTGGATCCCCATGTAAATGAAACCTAC